AGGCGACTATTGACACGACATGTCCTCCTTTCACACAACAGGACATACACACACACAACCCCACACGCCCCCCACACCGACCCCTCAATTGCCCTCATCATCTACTATATATGTATATCTATATATGCCGTGGTAACTTCAGACGTGCGTATAATTTTACCTTGCGGTCACTCAACGGCAGACACAGAAGGGAGCATCGAAGGGAGCATATGACGGGGCTTCCCGTTAAAGGACAGGTACGAGTACAGGTACATGCGCGTGAACCCTCAGGTATTCGAGGTGTCAATTTCATTTTCATTAAGTTGCTTCTGCTTGACTAGGTCCTGCCCGGAGCCAGGGTTCTCTTAATTTGCGTCACTTTGCTTGACCAACAGACTCAAATTTCAGCGGGTAAAATAAAAATTCAAATAAAACTCCAACGCAGCAACGGCGGCGTCTGCTCATTTGTAAAACAAGAAGCAAAAGGCGAAGGAGCAGCAGCAGCAGCAGCAGGAAGCCCTACTTACGCCTCCTCAGCGCTCGCTTGTCTTCATTTTTGCATTAATTAATACTTATTACAAAAATGAAAGAAATTAAAAAAAAAAAAACACACACACACAAAAAAAAGGTAAAGCAGAGCAAAGCTCAGAAGAAAGGAAAAGCAGCAAAACTTGGTAGAAAAAAGGCCTTCGGTCAGGGCCCTGGTTCCTGCTTCTTTGGGGTTTAGGTAAAATTTTAATCACTTCCTTCAGCAGCAACATTTTTGGTCTCATTTTGTTGTTGCTTCTTTTTTCTGGACTTTCGAGCAGGAGAGCAGCAGTTGGTAATTTGAGTCTGTTAACGTTGCTTTTTTCGACTGGTTTTTGGTTTTTTGTTTTTTAAGGGTAAAGGAAACTTCCTTTTGTGGCTGCCTCATAAGCTAGCCGGGGACTTAATTAAAACTAATTCCATTTAAATATTATATGGAACATTTTGTGACAGCGACAAACGATTTTCACTTCCTTTTTATTTAATTGAATTTTTGAGGCTAGCCTTTGTATTTTTTGGCAAAAATCTGCGAAAAGATGCTGCCAGTTGTTTGAGCATCTCTTTTATTTTTTGGCTTAATATCTTTGTAGAACTTTGTGGGCTTTGTTTGTGTGTAGCCGCCGTAAACAAAGCCAAAGTCACAAATTAACAGGGAATTAAGGGACAGGCAGACAGAGAGGGAGAATGAGAGAAAGGGCCACATTTTGGGATTCAAGTTTTTACTGGATGTCGTGGTGCGGGGCAGGCAAAGGGCTTTAAGGTAGCAATTATGGGGGATTGCGACTCTAAGAACTTACCAGCCACCCAAGAAATGTCACACTCTTTGATATGGGATCTTACCTTTCTCTGCACACTCGATTCTCAAACATTCCGAGTGAATAAACAAGACATCTACATACATGTATGTATTTTCACCTTTTTTCTTAATCTATAGAAATTTGCCGTATTGAGATATCGTTTTTATAGAATTTTATAAATATTTTGTGGTATTAATTGTAAAAATAGAAATTTTTGTCATTTTTTTGTGGCTTAAAAATCAGAAAAATATGTGGAAAATATATATAGTTTCTCTTTTCTGATTTCAGATTCAATACATAATATTTGCATATTTAATTCAGTATAAAATTCAAATATAATATATTCTATTAGTATTGTACATCAAATAGATTCATCAAATTGTTTGGTATGGATTCCAATCACATGCAGGAATTTTAATTAATGCTTTCCGCTATCATAGTGAAATTAATTATTCAGCAATTAAAAAACCTCAACGAGCCTCAACAAATATGAGCGACAAAGGAAAATCATTTTAGGCGCTAAAAAAAGAGAGAGGAATTTCCATTCATGCTCTATAAAAAAAATGTTTGACAATTGAAAACTGATTGCAGGGCGGATCGAAAAAATTGTTCTATTCAAATATTTGCATTTTGATTGGGTGTGTGTATATGTATGTTGCATGCCCCTAATTGGCAGTTCAGACAAACAACAAATTGTGGAATCTATATAATTTCAAATTGATTGCGGGCATATGCCAATGAGGCTAATGGCTGTAAAGGGTTGGGGAGGGGGGTTCGGGTGAGAAATGTGTAATTTATGAAGAGAATCTGATAACTAGCCGAACCGCAGTAAATTAACACGGTAGTCCAGTGGCAGGACGACCCAGGACTGGGGCTAATTTGGCATAAAATATATGGCCCCACTCCCGACCATCGCGACAGATGGTGTTCATGGGACAGCCACAGAGGAAGAGCAGGAGAAGGATGGGATAATGCAATCTAATATTAATGCCCAAGCCGCCTGCATTTATTGGCATATAAATCACTTGCCCTGGCCACCAAATCACAGATACACAATACACAGCACACAGACACACAATCACTGGGAGAAAGAGGAGGAGATGATGCAGCAAAAGGAACAGGAACAGGAGCAGTGGGAGATGGGAGATGGGTAGGAGGGTAGGAGTGGTAAAACAATCTTGAAGAAGACTTAGAGGGAAGCCAAAGCCAAAGGCACTTACCCCATCGTCTAGATGTCGCCTCTACTCGAGTGTCTCTGTGTGTCCCACTCATTAGGGCCCATGCTTTATGTTCGCTGCACTTGTTCCGCTGCTGCAGTGCTGCTGCTGCTGCTACTGCTACTGCTGCATTTTTTTCCATTTTTTCGTGACTCTTTCATGTCAATTAATGCGACGCACTCTTCAAATATTAGCAGACATTATGTGCGCTGGCTCGACTGCACTGAACACTGAGTACTGAGCGCCCTGAGCCCTAGGGCTCCCTCTTAGAGCACTTCCGTCAACCAGCCATCCATTCAGTCAGCTAGAAGATGGCGCTGACGTTGGGGCTGGCTCCATTCCTCGCCTGGTCTGGCTGTTTGCCCTGGGTCGCCGCACAATGAGCACACAAATGACTTGGAGCACTTCAGCCTGGCTTTTTGTTCTTTAATCGGGGGTATTATTACGATGCCTCTTCGTCTTCCATTCTTGCTTCTGCTGCTGCTGCTGCTGCCGCTGCCGCTGCTGTTGCTCAAGTGCCTGGGATTATGTGCTGACGTTGAATGCGCCACTGATTCTGATTCGGAGGATTCGAGTGGGCTGCTGCCACTCTGCCGCTGGCTTCCTTCCTTCCTTCGTATGCACATTCTGACAGACAGACAGGCAGTTGACTGAGAGTAGTGACTGACTGGCAGAAGGCAGCGATCACAGGTTCACAGTTGCTGTGGCTGGCCGGATACTTGAACTTTCACCATCATCTTTTTGTTTCAGCTTTTTCCTGCTTGTAGCTGCTAGGCACCACTAGCACCGACCCACACTGGCCAGCGACTGAGCTCTGCGCCAGATGTGCGTCCGTATTTCAATGAAACGCCGCTGGCTTTTGCCCGAGCTTTGGTCCGATCCAAAGCTCTCGGCGACAGCTTTACGTATAAGAGAGAGCGTTCAACTTGTGCGCAGGCGCATCCTTAATGGATTTCGGCTACGGTTTGCCGTTCGTTCGGCATTTACTTCGGCATTCGCTTCGGCTTTTGGCTTTCGGTTTTGTGCTACGCTTCGGCGGTGCTTCGGCTCTGGCATTTAACCTGCTGCAGCCCTTGTGCGTCTGCTCCACTGCTCCCCTGCTGCTGCTTGTTCTGTAGGTTTTTCCTCACATATGAAAATTAAAAGCGCTTAACAACAATTAACAATTGGCCAGGCGGTAGGCGGTAGGCGGAAAAAGAGAGAGGTGCCACCAGGGCACTAGCTCTAGTGGCACGAGGGATAGGTAGGCATGGTGCCTGGGCGGCTGGTGGCTGGTAGGTGTGAAGCAAACACAATTTTCTGGACAAGGCATTAATCAAGACAGTTGTGACACTAAAACTCCACCAGCAATTAATCAACAGAAAGGAACCGAGCCGAACCGAACCGAACGAACTCAAAACAGAAGTTGCCTTCTGCATTAACTGATTGTTGTGCTGTTGGCCAGCAGTAAAGAGACGGCAAGAAGCCAGCCAAAACTTGTCAGTTTGAATAAAAGTTTAGTTCAAAGACACACACACACACACACACACACACACACACACACTCACAAAGAAGATACAATATAGACTGAATATTGAATCAAATCAAAGTTTGATTTGACAGCCAGACAGACAAACAGACGGACAGAAGGGGTACTTTCCTTGCCATTCCTCCGCTCTCCACTCCTCTCGGACTTTGACTTTCAGCCAAACTTTCTGCCCTGAGAAGTGGAAACTTTGGGCCTGTCCAATGCAGCATAAACCATAGCATAAGTTCATATTCATGTTCCACCCTCCTCCACTATACAACAGTGAGCCCCCAAGAACACGCTATCAATTTATCAATTAATACGACTAATGAGCAGGCGGACTGCTGGATCACAGTGTCACTAAATGCAGGACCCTTCCTGTGCAAAATTAATTGGGATTCGCTCATCAACAAACTCTGACACATAGCATACTCGTAAAGTAGATGTACACATACACATATACACATGTATATATGTATGTATGTATGTATGTATTTGGATATAGAGACGCATCTTATGGTGACGTAGTCATCGTCATCGTCGTCGTCGTCTAACGAGATTCCACCACTTGGCAAATTGTTGTTGTGCCTTTAATTGACAATCAAAGCAAGTAATCAAATTTGCTTCTCGACATTTTTCATTAGAATTATTATATATGTACATAGTTACAGTTCCGACTGCAGCGCACCCCCCGATCCAACTGCCACGCACTGCGCCCACAGAACATTATACACAGCGCCCACATCAAAGGCGTAAAATTGAGTGGACAAGAGACCTTTAATCAAGAAACTCTTCTCTGTCGCATCACAGGAGGAGATGTCGTTGTCGATGACGATGGCGATGGCGATGTCCCTCCGCACGGAGATGCCCATGAGAAACGGTTTAAAGCACAAGAAAAAAACTGAGCTGAACACAGCTAAATCAAAATTGGAAAAATTCATTCAAAAATCAAAAAACCAAGTGGCATTTTCCGATACACTCCCCAAACGAGTCACAATCCCAAAAAGTATCAGTGCCAAAAACGTTAGCTAACGTTTTCTATTTTCGAAAATCTAAACACTTATCCAGACTTTCTGTATAGAGAGTGATGACAGAACCGAACATTATCAATGAGGAGGATACCTCGTCCTCTAGTTCGAGCGATGATTCTGCCTATTTCCTGGCTGAGGGGTATGCCCAAACGGATGATGAATCTGCCACTTGGGGTTCTTACACGGTTGAGTCTGCCGCAAAGAATGTTAAGGCAGCAGATGCCAGCACAGGAGACGCAAAGCCAGGAGATGGTAAGCCGCAAATTAACTAATGAACTTTTTTCCAATTTCTAAAATCAATTTCTATTTTAAATTAAAAGCTTCAAAGATTGGCCAAGCGAGCTTCTGGTGCGTTATATGCTAATTGAATGTTTGATCTGTTTACTGTTTACACTTTCACACAAGAAGTAAGTACAGTTTAATCTTAGCTTGCGATAATTATAGATGGATATCCCATTTATATTTTCAGCATCGCTTTTACCAGTGTTCATGCAAGTGCCAAGTTCTGTAGGTTTCGAAACAATTACAAATTCAGAGAGATGATTATATTTCAAATAAATATAAATGTTAATCATTAATGCAGCTCTAAGTACTACATATATATGATTTATGAATGATGCTGATACTTTTAGTTTTATCTGCTCTTCCCCTAAATGAATCATGAAAATTCGTACTTTATTCTTTTAGATTTATCTCTCTTATTTCCCTTCGAAGTCCCCCCTCTGCATACAGCATTTTATGCACCCCAAAAACTATATTTACTCGCAATTTGAAGCGACGACTGGTCTTTCATTAAGTCGCTGTGCAAATCCAAGTCGCTCTGTCTCATTGAATAAGTACAAATCATGCAGTAATCAAATGGGGACTGGTATGGGGGTACGCAGGATACGCGGTAGAATATATACTCATTGGGGAAGCCATTCTATTCTGGGCGCTTGTCATTTAATATCCGCAATTAAAGTGGTAATCAATCAAAATGAACAGGCAGAAAACCTAAATGAATTAAAAGCAAACGAAGGAACAAAGCAAAGGATGAATGCACAGGACGAACCGGAATGAGAGTCGCCGCAAACACACAATAAACAGAAAGGAAGAGAAAGAAAACTGAAGCGCAGCAAATGAACGGAAAAAACTTACAAAAAAGAAAGAAAAGGCAAAGAAAAGGAAACCAAAAAAACACCAGAACAAACAGCGAGAAACCACAGCGAATGCACTGAGGGAATACCCAGAGGCAAATAATTAGAAGCGTTATTTGCTATTATGTAAATCAAAGATAGAAGACACAAGAGGCAAGAAGTCTCCTTCCTTTGATTTCCTTTGACAATATTGCTTGGCAGGTGACGGGAAAAACAAATGCAACGAAATCAAATTTTGTTGTTGCCTTTTTTTCTCAGTGTTTTTATCGTTTATTCAGTTGTGTTCTCCCGCTTCCGTTTCTCCCCCTTCTTACTCAGGATCCGGGGTCCAGGGTCCACAGGGGCAGCGATAAACAAGTGCCACACAAACAAAAATGGCAGCACTGTACGCTGGAACCTATTGATGATTGAGCAGGACATTAATCTAACGAAATGCAGACAGCCCCCCGAGCCAAACGCTGACCAACTGTGAAAGTGTCAAATTTCAAGCCACACATTGTTGCTGCCTCGTTCTGTGTCCGTCCTTCGTTCTTCGTCCTTCTCCTGCTGCTGCTGCTGCTGTTTCTGTTTCTGCCTCTGGCGTCTGTGGCCACGTAAGCAAACATAATTACGCCAATGCCAGCGCATCACATATACATATATGTACATACATATATAGATATGCTACAACATATGTACATAAGTATGTATAGGTTTGTGTGTGTGTGTGTGTGTATAAGGTATATTCCTGGGAGCCAGCGTCATTTGCGTCATTCGCTTGCAGGACAAAATTAATGGAAGATTTTATGTACGTCACTTTGAATTTATTGACTTTATCCATCGGGAAAGGTTAATTAATAGATAAGATAATTCTCTTATAGATCTAGAAGATTGTCAGATTCGAGCAAGACACTGAGGCAATCCTGCTTGAGACAAATTAACTGCTTGACGGAGCAACAGTGTTGCTGATTAACATAAGAGGAGTATGTATTCCTAATTGCCTACTTGCTTAAACCAAAATAATAAAAGAAATAAAATAAAATAAGGCCTTAGATAGCACAATAGCAGAGCAAGGTTTCGATCCTCGGACCTCTGGGTTATGGGCCCAGCACGCTTCCACTGCGCCACTCTGCTATATGTTTAGTCTATGGACGAAATTCCATATAAAATCTGTGCATAGAGGAGGAATATGGGGTGCTTTTCCCAACAATATTTTGCTCAACAAAATGCTTTTCGCAAAATCCCTATAAAATTCCGCTGATAATTATCATTGATTAATGGCAAGTGCGTGGAGTATTTCTTTGCGATATTTAGACTGGTAAAAATCCATGAACTCCGTAGATTTTTGGGCACTTTTCAACAACATTAAGTACCAAAATCCACACCCAAATCCCTTGTTAACTTTTTTATTGTAAAGTGATTTTCTTGGCTAAGTCAGAAAAGCCGACTAATTGCAATTGTGCTTGTTGCTGGCTGGCGTTGAATGCAAATGCAGCTCCTGTTGCAACATCATCACATTTTTGATGGTTTTGACACGTCTATAGGCACGAGGCAGGACAAAGAGTAGTGACCAGAACAGGAGCAGGCCTATGCGTCGTATGAGGCTGCACATTTGCTGTCCATCGCAAATTAGACGACAAATTAGCACACCAAAACTGATGCACTGACGTGCCCCCAAGAGCGAGTGAGTGGAAAAAAGGCCGCCTGGAATCGGGTTGGGCGAGTGTTAAGTTTCCTCAGAAACAGCCGTTCTGCAAAATGCAACTGCTGCTGCTGCTGCTGCTCCTGATGTTTCTGTGGCGTTGTGACTGATGTGGCATGATAACCAAAGGCTCGACTGAAAAACTCTACCAATTTTGGGCGGGACACGTACAATGAAGCACTGCAAGCAGCAAGCCCCTTGCAGCTATGTCAGCGTCGTCATCGGGGACCGGATACCAAATGGTTTTTCAATGGATCACATAGTAGCGAGTGTAGCTCTTTCCCTGAAATCTTTTGGCTCGAATTCGCAGTACGCCCGCAGTTCGAAACAGAACAGGAAGCTTATAACAGAAGGCTTATGGGCATTTTGTGTGTTGGGTTCTCTGTTACCCCGCAGCTCCTGCGCCCGGTCCCGGTCCCGCTCCCACTTTTTCTCATTCTCCTTAGCTGGTTATTAAATTTTGAAATGCTACACCTTGTGCGGTATCGGATTGCCCACTCACGGAGCGAGAGAGCGCGCTAAGACAAAAGGGTTACTCGTTCTGCCACTGCCACTCCCACTCCCCCCCTGCTGTATGCTATCGGAATTCATGCAAAATTCAAAGGGCCAGGAACCAGCATAAGAAAATATGCCACATCATAAATTCTGTGCACATTTATGTATACTATAGCTGGATATCCTGTGGCAATCCTTTCACGAGCCACACACACACACACACACACACACACAGACAGATGTTGACACAGTTTTCCTTGAGCTCAGCACAAAAATGTCTGTCTATTTTAATATGAACCCAAATTGGGGTTTTTATTTATGCACGAGTTTAGTTTACAATACAGTTCGTACCTCTCGTGCCTCAAGAAGCCGCCGCCACCACCACCACCAGCAGCAGCAGCAGCAGCAGCAGCAGCACCCACCTTTTGTGCCCTACTGTACTGCTCTCTGCTCAACTGTGTGTTGCCCTCTGTTTGGTGTAGTCGTGTGGTCGTGTGGTCTGGGGCATAAAAAATGCACAGACAATGGCCAAATGACTCAAAAAGCAACCAGAAAGTAAAACAGATACGAATATTTCAACTACAAAAAATATCATAATAAAAATCTCCAGCAGTTAAAATAATTGTCACAGTAATAAAGCGATTGCATTGCACAAAATTATATCTGACCCGCATGAGAGGGTGGTTCCAAGAGTCTTTGGAGTGGCATGAATAAATGAAGCAGGAGATGCGCTCAGTCATAGCCATAGATCTATTGGATAGATTTACGTGTGATACTTGTGTGATGCTCAATCAATGGAGGTTCTTGACTTCTTACTGTTCTGAGAGCCATAAGGGTTGGGATTGGATTGGATGAAAAGAGCTCAGGAGTACTGAGACAGCGCTCTTACCTGTAGCCGTGCTAATTTAGGAACTTTATTTTAGCTAAATCCTATTCAAAGTTGTCTGTATTCAAATATCTTTGCATGTATTTTCCTTGTCTTTCTATTTATCCATCTCACTCGTTGACTTTGTTGCATCTTCATCAGCGTCCTAAGATCTTCGCAGACATCCTTGCATCGCATGGAGCTGCCCTCGGTCCCCCACGAACCCGACTGGGGAGTTCGTTCCCTGTGCCGCAGCCCTGTGCTCCGCTCTCTGTTTCTGGTTGCACTTGCTCCATTTTATGGCTGGCAAACATTATGGCCATGATTAATGGCAGATAATAATTTCGAGTGCCGAGCACTTGACAGCATACGAAAAGTCAGAAAACTATGGGCAATGGACGGCCATTAGCCACCCCGTCCATCCACCTACCAAAAAGGGAAGAGCAGAAACGAAGGACGCAAGGCAAGGGGGCAACTCTGCAAATGACTGCTGGAAAATAAACAGCAACTGCAACAGCAACAGAAGCTGTGCGAAGCATTAAACTATTGCCATGTTCTGTTTACGGCATTAAATGCTTCTCTCACTCCCACACTCTCTCTCTCTCTCTCTCTCTCTCTCTCTCTTTCCCTCCCTTTCTATATATACCCCTCTCTGTCATTCCTTGCTGGGCCAGCTCTGGTGTGATTTACTCCGCTCGCTGCATAAATTATGATGAGAAAAACTGTCTCGCAAGCGTTGATCAGCAAATTATTTTATGCAAATTAAAAAATATGCAAACAAAAAATGTACAAAAAATATAAACGGAATAAGCGGATTTTGAGGGTACATAAATAGAAAGAGATGGCAGAATTGTTGGGGTCCTGTAGGGCCAGCCATTATCCTGACCACATGTTGGTTTAGCTGCCATCCAGTCAGCCATTCAGCCATCCAGCCAGCAATTGATTTAGCATTGGCTTCGACCCTTCCCACAGGCACAGCCACAGCTACATTCCGCTTACCACTCCCCTACCCATCCCACTCACTGACCATTCTGTTTGCAACAGCTGCAGCAAATGGCATTCAAATCGTGGCTTGGCTTGGTTTGGTTTGGTTTGGTTTGGTTTTTGCCTTCAAAGCTCTTGAAAACTTAAAATGTACGTACATACATAGAGAGATTCCATGAAAGTTCTTTAAATTGTGGACTGAAAAACATATATAAAAACAGAATAGAAAGAAAACAGTGAACTTAAAGACAGTTCACAGCGAAAGTCCCGTCTCAGTCAATGTTCGGGGTAAAGTTTCGGGTTACTGCTGCCGCGCATGGCGCTTGTTAAAAGCTTCATCTGATGTGTGGCCATCTGATGTGCGGGGGGATGCAGTGCCATTGGCTGAGGGACAAATAAGTGCATTCCGGGGCGGGACATTTCTTTTGTGCGAGTCATAAAATTACTTTTTATCATTGTAACATGGACAGTGAGCATTCTGCCTGCTGATGTGGCACAGCCACAGACACCGACATGAGTATGAGTAGTTTTTATGACAAGGCGGAGCGGGGGCACACGTTGCTTCTTTATGTGGCATGCGACTAAAAGGATGCTGTTGCTGTTGCTGTTACCACTTCCACTCCTGACTCCTGACTCCTGACTCCTGCGTATCTGCCTCTTTGGTGCATTGTATTAATGGCTTTCTTGCACGCTAATAAGCATAAACGCCAACCGCCTCAAGGAGTCTCCGGCTTCTGGCTTCCGTTCTGTTTTGCTGCTGTCCTGCCATCGAAGAATGTGCGTGTCGCCTTTGACTTCATTGTGCACTTTATTAATGTTATTAAAAATTCTAACAAATGCCCCCAGAACACCGGACATGGCCCACAGAGTAAGAGAAAGAGGGAGAGAGAGAGAGGAGCTGTTAGCCAATGCATTGGCCCTGAGCGTTTATTAATGCCACAAAAAGAGGCAATTAATGGAGGGCAACAGTGTTGCAAGGACCTAGAGAATGGTTAAAGCCAACACCAGCAAATTTCATTTGCTAAATAAACTCTCGCCAAATGGACACAAATTCCCTCCCAAGTGAATTTTTCCTTACTCGAATATTTGAAGAATTTTTCCACACAAACAAAAAAAAAAAAGAAGGCAAACTAAAAGGAAAATCAACTTGAAGTTTGGTCCGAGGCAAATTGCAACAGGTTTTGCTTGCGTCTGATTCTCGGTTTATTGACACCATTTTCCAGCTTTCCCCAATTGTTTGCACATGCATTAGGCGAGGAAATGGAAAATTTCTGACAGAAAGGAAGTCGAAAATGTGGCAGAAAAAGCGCCAGAAAGCTATTCTCCGGCGTAAATGTTGATTTTCTCTCTCTACTGCGTTCAAACAAATAGCATTTGGGGCTTTGAATCCGGCCAAAAGAACTTAATTAAGACAGAAAGTGGAGAGCTGAAATGAGGTTTCACCTCATTGAAAATCAACAGTTGCAGTGGCTGACTGTGGCAGGTTCATTTGCAGCAAAGTAAATGCCACATTACGGGGCAACGGCATCCGCTTCCCGGACACTGCACAACAATTGCCAATTTGGTTTAAATATTTGCGTCAAGTGCAAGTTTTTGGTCACTTCCGTTGTGTTGCGTGGCGTTCCGCTCCGCTCCGCTGTTGCAGCTCTGCGCTGGCCACTGCTGGATGCTGTCTGTTGATTTGTGTCCCCCACGAGTTCTCGTGGGGCAATTTCCACAGTTAATGTCTCAAGGAATGTGGCAAACTATGTTGCCCGGATGTTGTCACCCGCTTTGCGTTTGTGTGTGTGTGTGTGTGTGGGTGATGGCGAGAGGAAAGCGAAAAACTGCTAGAGAACAACTTCCGCCATGAGAATTTCCATGCTGAGCGGAAATGGAAAAACACTTGCAAACACAATCCCCCATTCGGTTCTCCTTCTCCTCCTGCGTTTGTGGTGCTGCAATTAACGGGAACACATGCAGCTAGAAGGCCAAAAGCAGGTCAATAACGTCCACGACACGACCCTCATCGATATTCTATGTATATTTGATGTTAACTCAATTTGATGCCAGCAGCAGCAGCATCAGCAGCGGCAGCAGCAGCACCCACCGCTGTGAGCCTTTGGGGTGAAGACCTCGATGCGTAATGCTTTAATTTAGTCACAATATTGTCCTTCCACTGCAGCCCTCTCCCCTGGATATGCCACCAAACATGCCACGCCCTCGTTGTCGGTCGCCATCCACTTAATAGCCAATTAAGGGTAGACGACGATACAAGAAATAATTAAATAGCCAGGCGCTGCATGGAACTTTGCTCTTAAAGTGCCACCATGGCACCACGGCACCATGGCACCACGGCACCACGACACCATGGCGTATGTGTAATCTCTGGGAGAGTGCACTGTACGTTGCTACCCGAAAGTATGCAACACAATCCGGCTGTTTCTGCCCCTTGAGCTATGCAAATTTAATTGAAAATTTCATAATGAGCTGCAGCTATATGTACAACGACGGACAGGACAGTATCTAAATGAAAAGGTTATTTCCCTGCTGCAAATAGATGCTATGCTCCTTTTCCTCCAGATACTGGTAGTCTGATGCCCAGTAATTGAGCAATACCAGGGTATATAGTATGCAGAGATGTGCATAGCTCTGCCTGAAACTCAGAGACTATGAAAGCTGTAGAAACTGGGAACTGTGTATATTCGGGTGTCCTTTTTGCACTCTCATGAATATACATTTTATTCAAAAATGATCAAAAATAATTGCAAAAGGACAGCAGAAAATTTCCTGATATTTACTGCTTAAATAATGATAAATAATAATACTGAAAAAATATGTAGCTTCATTCACTATAAGCTAGAGATTAACAATATGAGAATCCAGCTGAATGCAGGGTATATTTGATGGCAGAACGCCTTGAATCGATTGCACTTCTTGCAGCTACTTCTGCTCATTATCAAAGTGCAAAATGGAAGGTCACCGGTTTAATATTTCAAGCGCAATTATGCAGCTGCGCATCAAAAATCAAATACAACACTAAAAACGCGACAGCTGCAATCAGAGCTGAGCGCGGATGCTGAAGATGCTACAATGCTGTTTTCTCCGCGTTCGTTTTTGGCTCATCATAAAATTCAATTTGGCGCAAAGTGTTTAATGAAAGCGTCAGCTTGGTTCCACACCCCCGGTCCGAAGCGGACCGGACCGGATTGGACTCGGACTCAGACTCAGACTCAGTCCCTGATTCCAGGAAAGGAGCCAACTTTTCCGCTGCACAGCAGGTCATCTCGGGACCATTAACAATTCACAGGGAATTTGCTGCTGGCAGGAAAAAACCGGACAAGAAAAAAAACCACCACCCGCCTTATGTAGAATGAGCTTCAGGGGGAAGAAGCACTGAATTGTTTTACATAAAAACACGCTTTAGCACAGCAAATTATGCAATACAAGAAGGCCACCATCAAGGGGTTCGGCAAGCAGCAACGGGGGATGCAGCAACGGGGGATGGGGATAGTGCAATGGTTAGTGATAAAAATTAACAAGCTACGCAACGTTTGAGTTTTGAATTAATTGAAAGCGCGTATTCACAGGGACTCCACAACAACAGAAAAAGACCTCCAACCTCCAAGGGTCTGCGCCCTGCTCACTCTCGCTCTCTCCCCAGTTCGCAGTCCTGTAAAATTATAAATTCGCATCTAAATGAATGCTGAAAAATTAATGAACTGCATGCAGTTTAATTGAAATGAACATTCATGGGGGGAAGAAAGCAAGAAAAAAAAAAGGGGAAACATCCATAGCTGTAGAGTGGAGGAAACCCCTCAAAAGGAATGGGAGTTTTCATCATAATGAATGCCGCGATTTAATCAGGGCAAAATTCATACATTAATTTTTCCTTTTTAAGTTAAGTTTGAAATTAGTGCAGCTTTTTTATATTTATTTGAAATTTATTACGAATTTAATGGCAAACTTTCCAATTCTATATCAACAGAAACAGACATGGAATATTTATTTCGAAATGTTTTTAAATTTAAATTGATTTAAAACTTCCATTTATGAGATATGAGATATTTATGAATCGGTTTATAATTACACATATCTCAATACTCACAATTAATGGTAATTTCAAACTGATTTGCCATCATTTGTCTTAGAGGCATGTAGGCACATATATATATATATATAAAGACGAGTGACTCACCTCCATGTTAGATCCGTTTTGGCCCATTTGGGTCCTTGCAGGACATAACGCCGCACACGTACACTAATGCCATTGTCATGATCCAGATTGTCGGGGGAGAAATTATACGCGTACCTCTTGTCGCCCACACCGCAGCGGGGCTGCTGTATTAGCCTGGCCGTAGCAGCGTCGATTTCGCCCGTAACTGGAATCTTGCCAAAAGACTGCCGCCACCGTCGCCACAGGAGTACAGGACACAAGATGTGGCATTGTGGATGGAAGGTAGGCAACAGCAGCAGCGGCAGCAGCAGCAGCAGTGGCAAGTAGAACAGTAATGTTGCTTGTGAAATCGGGCATAATAGAAATTGGGGAGGGTTGGGGGTGGGATGTTGGGTGGTGTGTACATACCTGGAGACTCCGTATTGCATCTATCAGCTGCTTCTCGGTGCGCAGGGCTCCCGTTTCGAGATCCGACTTGGGCAGATAATCAAACTGCATGAGGTAATTGTACTGCAAGGAGGATGGAATGGAAATGGCAGAGATGGTTAGATGGGTAGAGATACATTAGGGAAGTGTGCCAAAGGTAGACGAGTATCTCAGTGGCAACAACAATGCAGATGTCTGCCATATGGCCAGGCCGGTGGTTTTGTGAGCCAAACTGTTTGTCGTTTGCAAATAGTACCAAGGAAAAACAACAAACAAAAAAAAACAAACCCTACCCCCAGCCCAAAATGGGAAAAAACCCTACCAAAAAAAGAGAAGCAAAAGTTTTTGCATAAAGTTAATGATAAAAGCAACGCCAGATACAGCAGCAGCAGCAGCAGCAGCAGCAACAACAACAAAAACTTTAACATTAATAAGCCAAAAAGTATGCCACCGGAAAAAAGTGCAAGAAAATGTCGATGGAATGAGAGCGAGACAGAGAGAGAGAGGCTGAGGCTCTCGAGGGCTTGGCAGGGGAATATCCTTCTGGGTCATTTTCTCATCTGTTGGACTTTTAATCACGTAGGAGTGTTTTCTTCTTTGATCTTTCACTTGCATACATATTCGAGAATTATGCTATTTATGCTCGAATCAATAATTTCAACCAAAAACCTCGACCCTGTCTCTGGCCTTTTATTTAAGTATCTTCTTCACTTGTGGGATTCTATGCTCCAGCAATGTTACTTTTACATATGGTTTATCTGCATATGTATTGGGATTGGGTCCCAGTCGCATATCTGTACAGTGTGACAGTAGAAAATACAAAACACAAATAGAACTCAACTCGATTCGATTCGATTCGATTCCCTGGCCATATGTGAGCGCTGCCTGTCTCTCGATTTACATATTTTTGTACATTGAGTGCGGGCATACACGAGTATTTATTCGCAAACAAAACCCTCCCGCTCCCCCCCAACCGTACTCGTACTCCCATAACCAAAGGGGGAGCCACGAGCGGGGGGATAAAACTTGACACATACACCAGCGAATTACGTGACCTGTAAATTAAATTTTCCCCACCCTTCCCTTCCCTTCACACAGATAAGAAAATTGTCACACTCGCACCATTTTCCCCCACACACACACAGCCACCCTGTCCTGACTGCATGATGGACAAATATTCGATTTTTGCCTTACTTGTTATTGTCAGTCGATTCCCAAAGAAAGCAAACTTTTGAATCGAACCAACGATTTGAAAATTTCATGAAAAGAATCGTTAGCCAATATTCCGGGTAGAGCAGAGACGAGGGAGAGAGAGAGAGAGACCCAGTCAGTATAGTAGTGGGTGCCATTGTCATTCTTATATACAAGAGAACGTGATGTGTGTGGGGTGTGTGTGTGTGTGTCGCCCCGATTATGTAGTTGAGATTTATCGATCCGATGAATGGCTTATCCACTTTGCGTTTCATCGTTTGACTGCTGCTGAAAACTTTCCTGCTCGTGTGTGGCATCCGAAAGCATTGAAAAGTTAAAAAGTTTTGGTCAACGCGTTGCAACGTAATTATGGAAATTGTTTCAATGGAAAAAGCATTGGAAAAAATATGTAAAATAATGTACGAACATTGTATTGATTTATTAAAAAACAAAAAAAGGAAACAGCCCATGCAATCAGAATGTGGGAAAATACTGTGGTTCGGGGGAGATCTATTGATTTCAGTGTTTATTTTACTCCCAGAGAAACAAGACCAGAGAATTGAATAGTGGCACTTCAGATTTGTAGATTTCAAAATTTATACCAATATATTTGCAACGAGAATGGAGATTTTTATGGAATATTTCATATGAAATATTTTATCTAATTATATTTCATATTTAAAATAAATTATTGTATTTTGATTAAATATATTTCCCTAATATGTAATATTTTAAATACTTAAATTCTTACATAAGTTTTAAAGTCGTGTATGTTTTTTTTTAGTATATTTATGTTTCAAATTGAATTCCATTTCGATATCAAAATCGAATATTTAATTCAATTGTGGGTGGGTTTCGTTTTGCTAGGCCACTTTTCTTTAGGTGTACAGGATCCTTTAGTTAAACTAATTTTGCCCGGACTTTTGGATTTTTTTCACTTTCCTTTCTGGTCTCCGGTAAAGAGAAACCCAATTAGCAAAGCCTTTAAGAGAGAGTTCAGCAGAGTCCCAGGAGAGTCTTAGCGTAGCCTTAGCTGGACTGCATCAGGTACCGTTATGACTGCTTCACGGAACGGTTAACGGTGGCAGCAGCTCAGCTGTAGCTTTGTTCGCAGAACACAATGCGATTGGAATCCTTATTTCTTTTGTGTGGGTGTGGCTGTGGGTGGGTGGTCGGGGTCGGGGGGAGGCGACTGTTGCTTAACGCTTAAACGTAACACTCAACAGCGATGCGCAGCATCATTTTGCGGTGTAAATGAAGCTTATCAAGTGACTTTCTTTCAACTTTCCGATGCACCTACACATAGTTTTTTTCTTTTACTTTTTCTTGTTCCGTGCTATGGCTATTGTTGTTACCTTTTCCATTGCCGTTTCCGTTGGTGGTCCTTGGGCTAGGGGCAACCTTTGCAGTGCTCCTTGCGTTTTTTATTTTGCATTTTTCATTCTCCGTTTTATTTGTTATTTCACTAAGCCATTACTCGCTTTGACGATGTAACCCTCACAGCCTGGCAGCAGCAGGAGCTTCTATTTGATGCCCCACAGACACACGCAGTGGCAAGCGGGAAACAGGAAGGGGCAGCAATGGAAATAAACCTGACATTGAGTCCAGTGCTGTTGTTAACAGGTAAGGGATCAGGGGAACGGGAGCCAACGGCAGTATGTGGCACAGATTGCGCAGCAAAATGTGCGTCACGAAAAAAGTTAGATCCGCCCCCTCCCTTATGGATAGTCACGTTGCTGGGAGTGCGTCAGCAGCAGCATAAGACTCGGCTATGCTTCGCAAAAGTAACGTAAACGTAAGAAAGCGCCCCACGCACACACTCAAAACAAATTGAAATTCATATAACGTGCCTCCGACCCATGCCCCATGGCTTACAGTACTGCTCTCCCTCTCTCTCTATCTATCTACCTCTCTTTTTGCTACACGAAAACAATATCAATTAAAAAACAAAAACTATGTTTGTATGTTGAAATGCAAAAACAAAATCGATGATATGTGGCTGCTGGCGGGCATAGACAGGGACGGGGTGGGGGCACGAAGAATAATGTGGCATATAGCGGAAGCCGAATGTCTGTCGCAGAGAGCGAGCGACGCATAAAGTTTCTTAATGAATGGAAGACGAGGCACTTCACAGCTACACTGAAAGAAATTATCATTATAAGTGATGCAATTCCTGTTGACCATTAAACCCTTCCCATATTCAGAGTGGGAATTCTATTCTATTTTCGCTCAGTGTATTGTCAATTTGGCTAATCGAAGAAGACTTTTTCTGGCTATAAATATCTCTTAAGCAAGGTGTGCCAATGCCAGTGCCTGTGCCTCAAGCCCAGCCGCCTGATGATCGCCATCATCATGGCCCAAACATTTTACGACCACGAATAAACTACAATTCATAGTTATGAATGAATGGATGGCTGGATGGTTGGCTGCTTGGATGGATGAGTGCGTCGAGTGCTTCGAATGAGTGAATGAATTGCACAAGTCCCCTGCTGGGTAAGGGGAGGGTGGAGCTTCCAGTGGCAATCATTTATGCATTGGCCTTTGCGTTTTTAATGGGAAATGCTGTGTCGGCCAAGCTACTACGTGTTTGAAAATCAAAAAGAAGTGCGGGGGGGACGGCACCGCACAGCACAGCACAGCACAGCCCAGTCGTACGACGGTACGTGGCCAAGCCATGATTCCGACTAATAGAAAAATGGAAAAAATGGGTTGCAAACAGACTGGAGAGTGTAGAGTGTAGAGTGCAGCTCCTTCGGGGGTGGGGTGGGGTGGTAATGGGGGGATGAGGTGAACGGTGAACGGTGAAGTATCAAAAACAATAACAGTAAAACATGGCTACGTGAGTATTTGTCGTGTAAACAAAATCATCTTATCAAAATATAATAACAGAAACCAATAACAGGAAAAACAATTGAGAAAAGTGCGAGTGCCACGAGGGACGATGGTTAAGGGGGTCATGGGGGGGGGAAAGTGTGAAAGAAAGTATATATATTGTATATTGCTTTCCCACTCCACCCCCCCACTCTACACACTCTTTCCATAATTGTTTCTTGGGGGCTTAATTTCGTTAAGTTTTCGTGACACAGGGAAAAGTTCTTGGCCTTCGGTGAAAGTGTGAAAGTAAATTGAGCAATAAACGATGAACGAGGGCGATATGTTTATTATTTTATTGGATTATAATTACAATTTGTGGGGTAGGGTAGGGTAGGGTAGGGTTGGGTCATGCCACATACAAAAAAAAGAGAACAAGCTTCTCTGTGTAACTTTTATCCACTGTAGAATCTGGATATGGGAAATTTATACTACAGCAGCTGTAAGGATCCGCACCTGACACCTTCATACTGATCCGATCCTTATAGTATTCCTTTCTTTTGTAGTATCTTCCCTTCTTAGCGTCCCAATACTCCCCCTTCTTTGTCAATCTGAAGTCAATTACTAAAGAGAGGGTAGAGGGTGGGTGGAAAATTCTCAGTTAATCAAGAGTTTGGGACCCACACAAACAAATCAAATTGGTTTATCTCCCTGCCATAATTCTCGGCTCCACATGCGGCAGAGGGCTAATAAAAATGAAGGCGACCGCCCTCGACCACCGGACACCGAACACCGGACACAATGTCCGCCTGGGGTTCGGCAAACAAACCTATAAAAATGACAAGCAACTGCAACAAACGAGGGCATCCATCTAAACCGCACAGCCCCACACACACACACACAGCGAGAGCGGCAACAAATTCTGGGCAAATGCGCAAAATGGAAAGGAAAAATGCAGCAGGCGGCAGGCTGCAGACAGGAGCAAGCAGGCACCAGGAGCCGCAAGGAGAGCAAAACCACAAAAAGCATGAAATTGGGGCCAAGTTGACAGGATATGGGTCCTCGATGGGGTTTCCTCCCCG